GCCCACACCATCTCCCCGTACGTTTTCTTTTTGGATGAATGCCACTGATTCGCAACTGTCTGACGATTTTTTTGGTTGTGCTGTGCTGGCTCGTAGTTTTTCTTGTTTTTTGTTCCAACCCACCACCTCCTCTTCAGCCCCACCACGTTCGTTACACATTGTACTAGAACTTCAGTTTGTTTTTTATTTGTTTCCACCTGGTATTTTGTTGGTAGCTGGCTAGTAGCATCTTCTTGTTACACGTTGTGACTACTTTGATACACGTTGGCGGCGAAGGTGTGGCACGCGATTTTTGCCTCTCGCCTTTACTACATGTTTTCGAACATTTCGTCACGTCTGTCTCGCATGGTATTTTTTTGTCCCGTTCCGTTAATTCCGCGGTTTTCGCGAGCACCGCTCGAGAGCTCGACCACGTCGGCGACACAGCGTCACACTGAAATCAGAGAGAATCGAACGATTAGAATATTATTGTCGTTACAAACGAGCGGATACGAGACAGCAGGATTACACACGAATGGCGGACTCCAGTGTCGGGCGGAACCAGACGACCGGGACACGTACACCGCGGCTACAAAATCGCAGAACCACCAGTTCGGCTATTTTGAACGTTTCAGGCAAGGGATGGAGGGAACGTGTTCCAGAGCTGTACGAAGATCCGACGAAAAAGAAAAAGGAGGACGAGGAGAACGAGGAGCCGGCCGAGGAGTGACCGATGTCGCGTCCGATGCCGTTCTATTCCGATTACCCGCGAAACTTTAATTAATTGATTATCAATTAATCATTAATCGATTGATTAAGCAATTATTTATTGTTAATTCATCGATCGATCGTTGATTATTAATTGATCGATTGGTCGTTGATCAACCGTTGACTGTTAATCGGTGGATCAATCGTTAACTATTAACTAACCGGTTGTCCAATTGTTAATTACTAAATAATCGATCGATTGTTGATCATTAATTGATCGATTGGTCGATCGTCGATTATTAATCAGTGGATGGATCAATCGTCAACTATTAACTAACCGGTTGTCCAATTGTAAATTACTACAGAATCGATTGCTCAGTTGTTAATCGGGAATTAATTGATTAATTATCAATCAATCAATTCAAGGCGTACGTTTCCGCGAGCGCCGATAGTCCGCGCCCTCGCTTCCGCGTGATCGGTGCGTCTCTTCCGGTGAACGATGGAGAGATTGTTCGCACCGTTGACAACCGTGGTTCGAAGACTGCCGGTCGTTTCCCAGCGGGACCTACGCGCGACAGCAGAGAGTTCAATTGTCGTTAAACCTGTCCGAGCATGCGATTTGAATAAAACACACGTACCCTTGACTCCGAGAGCCGTTGTCAGTTATCCTCCTTGCGCAAAAGTCGGCAGATCGTCGGGAACTATTCCGGGTCCGTTGCTCCGAGGTAAGATCCCACGTTGCGCAGACCGATCAAATCGGTCGCGTACTGTCCCGGCGAGTGGTTTCCCGTTGCTGAAAAACACAGGCAACGATTAACGTTAACGGCGGCGGATGATGTCGCAGACACGCACGCACGCACGCACCGGTGACGTCCGAATTGTCTCGAACGCGAAACTGCAAAATCGCCGAACGCGGGTCTCCACTTTCGCCGCGGGGATCAGGAGCGGTGGCAACAGGTCGCTAAGTATACCGTGTGTGTTTCTGAAAGTTGAGACTACTGACCATCACCCGAAACCCCGGGCCTGAAGTCAGTGTCCGAGCACATGCGTCTCTCACCAGAGCAAGACGAGAACAATGGGTCAGGTTCGTCGTCGACAATCCATCGTTTGTCTAAAACCCGCGCTCTGCGTCATGCATCGTCCGTAACTGTTACAGAATCCCTGGGGGAGAAACAGTGTACGTCACCGATCGACACCGAATCGAACTCGACGTGTGTCTAATAATTCATAATCTACGTAATCCACTGAGATCGCGCGCCATCGACACGCTTCTAACAACACCACCGACGTCGACCTCCGGCGTCTTTTTTCACGAAGGCTTCTCGTTCCTCCGCGTCCTAACGTTCTGCACGATAACGAGCTAACGGGGACGTGTCTCGTTCGCAAACGCGCAGTTGCCGAATGCATCTCACCGAACTAAACGAAACACCTCATTAGATTTGTTGTGTTCATACGGTGTGCTGGCGTTGTGTGACCGCTTCGGGGGCCGACCGCCGGCGATTCCTCGCCGTTAACCGTACCGTTTATGTTTCATGTATCCCGTAGCGCCGGACGAGCCGATGACGGAGAGAGAGCTACGAAAGGGTCAGTACGAATTCACTGATTACAAAACACACGTCCGAAACACGTTCACCCGTTAACCATTTCTCATCTCATGTGACGAATTTTAGCGCGAGCGCTACAGCCTGATTTAGACGAGGCGGCGCTGAAGAAAGGTACGCGCACCCCTATCCTCCAACTCGACGATGGCCGGTCCCCTATCTTGGACCGCTTCGCGTGCCGTGAATCATCGACTACTGAGGATGATCTTTGCACTCGGAAGTTTTCCACAAAAACGTTTTAACAGTTTCTGATGAGATAAAATCGATAGTTTGTGAAACTAAGTCGAAATCGCGTACATTGAGGAACAAGGCTATTTTATTCGAATACTTCTCGAAACGATGCATTATAGGAAATAGAATATCAAATATCAAATTTTATAGTTCTACTGTATGAAATCAAGCGGTGAATGAGAGTCACCTCTCGAGTGCAAAGGGTCAATTACGGTTGACGCACATACCGGGAGATTTCGTTAGACGTATACATGTTCTCGACTGCATTCCTTTTGCGAATCAAGTACGACTGGTTTTTAAATAAACTACACTTGATTTGCAAAACGGTGAATTTCATTTGCAACGCAAATATAGAGTTACGGTCCAATTTAGGAGCCGACCCGAACTAAGCTACTTTCCCTGCACGTTCTCCGCACGGATGTCAATGTCGTACCGTGTCTTGTAGTGCGTATAATAGAGATCGAGCAGGAGTCGAAGCCGGAAAAGAAACGGGGCTCCAAGAAGGCGGAAGCGAAGAAAGAGCCGGAGCCGGAGAAACCGAAGGAGGCTGCACCGGTCAAAGCGCCTGAACCCGAGCCAGAGCCCGTCAAAGCTGAACCGGAACCTGCTCCGGAGCCGGCGAAGG